CTCTCTTCCCTTCTCTCTCCTCTTTTCTCTCTCATTTTCGCATCTAGGAACCAAAATGTGTAATAAATGAAATTGTACATCAAAACAAAAGATTTTAAAAACATTAGGGACCAAAGTATAAAATTTGGTATAACTCACATATAATTTTCTAAAAATAACGCAAAAATTGTAAAAACACTATGAATTTGAATCCACAAGTGCACATGAGTCTAGTGTTACATCGAGTCTACCTCAAATCTTTTAGCTATTTTTATAATCAACAACTTGATTAAATGCATGCATGGATACATGAGAGTGCTTTACTAATTAATGGAACTCTTGTTCAACTAAAATCATTTCAATGGATTACTTTATGAGGGACAAATATATAACAAGTCTTGAAAGATTAATTAAGATCATCATTCTCCCTTTTTGTGAAGTGAAAGAAATAATGGTCTTTACCTTGTGGAAAAGTACTAGAGTTCCATACAAAACTCTACCATGTGTATAGTATGTATCAATATAAATTCCAAAATTAAAATTCATCAACTTTTTTGCTGGATGGTTTGTTTCTTCCATTAAAAAAAATGAAAAATGAAATGGTCATAGAAGAACTAAAATCTCTGGATCAAGCCACCTTCTTATACCAAAGAGGCAGTAAGCTTGTTGTTTAAATTGGGCTAATCAAGTCACTTTTTTGGGTTAGGTCTATGAGTCTTAGGCAACTGTAGTATCGAAAATTCATTTGATAAATTCATGGGCTAGATACATGTCACTAATGGTTAATGGGTCTGCGTTATTAAGGGATCATTTCAATTCAAGTTTTCTTAGATCATTATAGTTCATTAACAAGGGACAAATTTATTACATTTGTTAAGTTGAGAAAACCGATGTGAATGCGGATTCATAGTATAAGACGCTATACATATTTAATATTGTGGTCTCGTTAGCCGATTAACGAGCGAAGTCAAGGGGCTATGCCACTTTTGGAAGCTTGGGGCGGAGCTCTCGAAAAGTTTACAAAATATTCGGCTAGCTATATAGACTCATATTCAGCTAGTTGTATGGACTCGTTAGACTTTTTTCTCATAATCTTAGTTGCCTATACTATAAATAAAAACAACATCACTTGTATTTATAGTCGTAATTTAATAACACCTAATAAGAAATTCTAATGAACCCGTAGAGTAGATACTATTACCGAATCACGTAAAATTTTTGTGTTATGTGACTATTTTTGTTTTTCTATTCTATTCTTTTGTTTGATTCATTTCCTAATAACATTTTGGAACGAATTAGATCAACATCGTCATGGTCATTTTATGAAAGGGGATAATGGCTCCATCTAGGACTTTAGTAAATGTAGCACGATGTTCGATCATTATGATTAACAATCCAAAATTCTCCAACAAACCTTGTAATTTAGTGATGTTTCTTTCTTTTGAAAGACTTGAGTTCATCCATCAAGCATCGCCTTTTTTTTTTTTTGAGTAGAATTAGGGGCTTTTTGAGTAGAATTAGGGGCACAAGGCCCAAACAAAACAAAGCATAAGCTATATAAATTCCAGAGAGCCATTCCCACACAATCAACCCATAAATGAGGCCATATCTCAGTAATCAAATTATGTGAAGCCATGGTTCAAGCACACTCCAGCCTTAGCTAACGAAACTGCATACTTTTGGCCTCGAGTTAGCATGGCAAATGGGCACAAGATGGTGGAGTTCGAGGTGGACTCGACAACTTTACTGCGTATCGTGGTAATTTCTTGTATTGGAAGGACTTCAAGGTACTGTCTGTTATGAAGAAAATTAACCAAAGAGTAGATTGTTTTGATTCACAGTATTTATAGCCAAGACAATACACGAGTAAATCGGTTCCCGAATCAATATGGTTTTCCTCCAATATAAATTAATTTCTCTACTTTTTCTCAATTCCCTATTCGAATACGTGACACTTCATTAAAAAAAAAAAATCCACCCACATTTTTCTCAATAATTCAAAGGCATTTAAAACAAATATTTTACTATCATTTTTTGTCATCAAATCCAAATAGTGGTAGCCTTCCACCATTGTTGATCCCCCCTTTAGTAATCTAATTTTATGCAATTTTCAGTAAATTAAACAATTGATATCAACAATGATTCTTTTTCAAGTAGATTAGTAATAGAAATATTTTGTTGTAAATAAAGATAACTAATTTCTGTATAATTCTCTATGAAAAAACCCCCCACAAAAATTCTTTAATTTTGTTCTTTTTTTGATTTTCAAAACCCAACAAGATTCTTCATTGCCTACGTTAAAAGAATTATCAAAAAAATTCGATGACTTGATTTTAGAAAAGGTTCTGATCTTGTGGCTTTAAAGTAGAAGAAATTGAATGATAATTTTAGATGGATTAAAACCATCATAAAACTGATCAGTTAAGTGGATGATTATTATGCAAACATGATAAATAATAGATTCAACTTATATGGAAAGGAAAACAATTTTGTAATTCTTCGGAGGGAATGGCTTTACTCCAAGAAAAAATTAGGGTAGTCTTGTCCCAAATGTGTGGCTTGGAGTTTTTCTGAATTTGCATTTTGTTTATGTACAAAATTTTGTTTATATATAATTAATAAGTTATTGGCCTAATGATAAACAAGCTGATTCAGTAAAAAATTCGAATCATTAAATCTTACTTACCGAAAAAAGTTAAATATTTTTCACTCTCGGAAAATGGGTATTCTTATTTACGATTTAATGACTGAGCAGACGAGAGAAGGCGTCGGTGGACCTGTCTTGTGTTTTGCCTTCATGCTCGTTGGGGTTTGCTTGTTTAATATTTTAGGCCCATTATTGACCCATTAACCAAATTGGGTTGAGCTAGTCACTTTCAAGTAGGCTTAGGGCTTGAAAAATGAGACCATTAAAATTTAAAGTCTAGACACGAATGACATCTGAATTAAAAAGGTTGATGGGTCAATAATGGGCCTAAAATACTAAATAAAGACAAAACACAAGACAGCAGCTCCACCAACGGCTTCTCTCGTCTGCTCATTCATTAAATCACAAACACAAGACAGACAAAACCCATTAATTATTTTTACTTAAATGGAAAAGCAATTGAGAAAGAAAGATTGCATGTTTGATTGGGCGATGGAAGCGAGTCTTGATTGGTTACTGGGTTCGGCATCGATTGCTGCAATTCTGCCTGTACCGCATTCGATCTAATAAGTACCTTCTGTCAGAATTGAGAAATTCTATGGCTCGAATCTTTAGTATTCTCTTATTTATTACCTGTGTCTACTCGGAGCCAACGATCCACTAAAACTAACGTATCTACAACTACATCCCCGAGCGGCAGTCAAACAGAGGCGTGAATGCACCCACTCGTTGCTTCACTACCTTCTTCTCGTTTTAAATCTTTTTATCAACTTGTTATGGTACTTGCTGGGCGAGGTAAGATTAAACAACCATCTTCTCATGTAAGTCCACAAAACATACAGTTTAGCTTAGGGATATTATTGGTATCTCTGTATCCATGATTTGGTAATTCTGTTTATGTTCTTCACTAATATAATTATGAATTGATATTTTGCTAGTGTAGAAGTTCACTGTTCCTCAGAAATTCTTCCTGCTGTACTTTTACGTGTGGGCTGTGGTGTGGACAACATTTCTGCTCATCATAACTCGGCACTACACATATAAAATGGCCCCATTGGGTTCTAACTCATTGGAGCTGCTACTCATTTGACTGGAGGTTCGAATACGTTTGATCCTATGTCTCAGCTCCTTACAGCAGAGAGCAGAGACCAGGTTTGGCTATCTGTGTTTTTTGCTTTTACTGATGGAAACCCAAGTTTGGATGCGCCTGTATGAGAAAATATATGTCTTTAAGTACAGCTCTTCGGCTCGGATGCACATTTGTGGCTATCTGACTGGGTTTTGGTGAGTTTCTCAGCATTCAAGTCCTCTTGATTATCACTCATAAATTTCTTCATGCTTCTGTTTTTCTTGGAGAATTAGTGATGCAGGATTGTGATTCTCATATGCTTATACTGTGTCTAGTGACAGGTTCAAGTTCCTTTTCTGCTTGAACTTTCTTGTCATGGTGATACGCACTGTGAAGAATTCATTTTTTACTTTTTCTGTGTAACCTTTCCTTGGGAAGTTTGTATACAATAGCACCCGTCCCTTTGACATCGATCTTTTGTATTTATCACCGTCCTTTAATAAGAATTACTAGTGTAGCTGTGGAGTAATTATAATCACTGATCACATAAATCTTTGTATTATTTATCTTTTTATTTTATTTTCCTTATTTGATTCTATTCCAAACAACAGTCAAGTATAAGTGGGACTTTTCGCATCATCGTATAATTTCTATGGAAACTGTAATTAGAATGCTCAACTATAAACACTCCATGGTACCATGGTCAGTTCAAAACTATCAAAATACTGAGTTGTATATAGTTTTATCTCATTTTATCCTTTTACTTACAGAAGAAAAATCTGAATTTTTGACAATTCCACCGAGAGAAAAATCTGAATTTTTGATAATTAACCATGTTAAAAGTATTTATAAGTATAAAAAATATTGATTTTTTACCAGTAAAGAATATGAAATAGAAAAAAAATAATTTTTTTATTAATTAGAAATATTTGAAAAATATTCACTATATAAAATTTTAACTAAACAAGTATCATAAAACAAATTGAACCAAAAAGAACAACAATCTCTTTGAGACCGAGACAGAATATAAATTTATGTCATCAATACTAAATTTAACTCTATCTAGTGCGAACCGAACTCGAGCCTAAAAGTTAATAAAAAGGGTTACGTAAGTGTAAAATGGGCCCAATTAGGCCCATTAGAAAGATGAGGATATAGTCCAGTCTTGTGGGCCACACAACGAAGCTTCCTTCCAGAGTGCACTCCTCCTCTCTGTCACCTTCAATGGTTACATGTCCCAAAATTAACAAAAAAATAAATCAACCTCAAAATCTTACTTCCCTCTCTCTCCCAATCCGTCAAAAAATGGCTTCTACATTCAGCGGTGACGAAACAGCACCGTTCTTCGGCTTCCTTGGCGCCGCTGCGGCTCTCGTCTTCTCCTGTAAGCACCACCACTACCACCACCATCAACTAAGAAATCCAATCCAATCCACTTCAACGACGTTGTTTCTCATTCATTCATTTTATCTTTCTTGTAGGTACGGGAGCAGCGTATGGGACAGCGAAGAGCGGAGTAGGGGTAGCGTCTATGGGAGTAATGAGACCGGAACTAGTGATGAAATCAATAGTGCCGGTTGTTATGGCTGGAGTGCTTGGAATATATGGTTTAATTATCGCAGTTATAATTAGTACTGGAATTAATCCTAAAGCGAAATCTTATTATTTATTTGATGGGTACGCTCATTTATCGTCCGGTCTCGCTTGTGGTCTTGCTGGTCTTTCTGCTGGTATGGCTATTGGTATCGTCGGCGATGCTGGTGTTAGGTAATTTTTTTTTTTTTTTTTTGCTTGGTTTATTCTGATTTTTTTTTATTATTATTCTTTTGATTGAAATTGAGTGTAGTGTTTAATTTTTGAAATTTATTATTAGTTTAATAGGTGATAGAATTTGGTTTTAGTGTTTGTTACATGAATGTGTGATTAATCTAGATGTGATAGAAAATGAAGTCTCTCTATTGTATTTTTGAGCTATCTAGTGAGATAGTTGGAGCTAAGGAGTTTTAGTTGTGTTTTGTTTGGTTGTACAAATGTGATCGAATTATTCATAATTGATATGATCAATTAAAAACAATTAAGCAAATTTGAATTATTTAAACTTACTGAAGTTTAAAATTATTTAGTAATTTTCAAATTTTTTATTTATAATTAACCATTTTTTTAAAAAAAAAAATTTCTTATAAAAATAAAAATCTTATAAAATTATGTATAATTAACCATGTTTTTTTTTTTTAAATTAAATATCTTATAAAAATAAAAATCTTACAAGAATGAGTAAAATCATTAGTATCACATTTCTGTGACTTGTTAGAAGAGTGACCAAACAATGTAATCAAAGTTATGGTGCATTCATGATTACATTAGAACTCTAATTGCATGCTACCAAACATGTTGTAGGTTTTCGTTATTATAAGCAATTATTTCGTACCTATGGAGTTTGTAGTCCCTCTCTCACATGCATGTGGAGTCTATAGATAGCTCTGATAGTGGTCATACATGTATGAGAGAAAGGGAATACCATCTCAAGGATAGCTTCTAAATTATGGTATGTCTAACCTCTGTCTATGGTGAATTTTTGAATGCTATGAAGTACCCCTCCCTTCCCTGCAAAATAGATAAATAAAAGAGAAGTAAATTTAGTTGTTATGGATGTATGAAACACACCCCCAAAGAATGTGCGTACTGTTATATAAAATAGCATTTCATGCAACTTTCTTACAATTGCATAGTTAGAATTATTTCTTGTTGATGTCCTTCAATCCAGAATTTTGATGCTTTATTTACTTTTTGCTGCAAAACGTGCATTTGTGCTAGCTGGTATGTGGGGGTATTTTTGAATGGGTATGATTCAAGGGTACAGCGGAAATGGAGATGCCTTTCAGTTGTTTTTTTTTTTTTTTTTTTTAAGACTTTGTTGGCATCACCTACCAAGAGGGGGGCCGGGGTGAAACTTTGTTGACCTCAATATTTTTGTTGCATCATTAGCCTTGATTTTTTTTTTTTTAATAAAAAAAGCATGAAATTGGTTCCTTTTGTGTCTTTCTATTTTGTTTCTAGTAATTTAATTATCAAAAATTTGTTATTTTTAGCTACATCATGGTGTTAATGAAATAAGAATAGTGCTACATCATCTTTCCCTTTGTTGGGTAGATGTTTCCATGTCTTTGGCACTGCCTGCAGTTTAAAATCCAAGTGATGGTACCGAAGAAGAAAATTTATTGGACCAAAAGAATTTTTAAATGCTACATCATCTTTCCCTTTGTTGGGTAGATGTTACCATGTCTTTGGCACTGCCTGCGGTTTAAAATCCAAGTGATGGTACGGAAGAAGAAAATTTCTCGGACCAAAAGAGTTTATTTTTAAACGTTGCTGTATTCCTTCAAAATTTGCCCAGATTTTGGCAGGGATGTTTTGATGCAGGGTTAGGTGAAGTTTCTTTCAATCGATTGTATGTCAACTGTTAATAACTTGTGAAGGCAATTTTGGAGTCTATGCTGCCGTAGTATAATCTTATGTTTCTCAATTACTTGTGTGCTGTATTGGTTCCCCTAACTTCTTCTCAGATACAAAGTTGCTATGAAATTTCTTGCATAATTAGTTATAATCAGATGTGCTTTAACCACTATCTAGTTTGGAGATTGTACTTAGCATTAGACACACATGGATGCATTTTTATCATGATAAAGTGTCTTATCTGAATTTGATTGTTTCCTTTGTAGAGCTAATGCACAACAGCCGAAACTTTTTGTTGGAATGATTCTGATTCTCATCTTCGCCGAGGCATTGGCTTTATATGGACTTATTGTTGGCATCATCCTCTCTTCTCGTGCTGGCCAATCCAGAGCAGAGTAGAATACTGGTTTTTGGCATAGCTTTGCTGTTTTCAGGTTGGTGATGCTAGTGAAGAGCGTGCGAGTGTTAGATCAAATTATTGTCATGCATGTCATTTCTCCAAATGCATTTAAGGGTGTTGCCGTACTGGTTTTACATTTGGGGGACAAGCTCCCTATTGAAATAAACTGTCCGTTAGTTCATTGTAATATTCAAACCTAGCTTGCACATGGTTATCTACTGCAAACTTTGTCTTCTTGTTTCTGATCATTAACTGGTGTACTTGTATGATTAAATAATTGAACCCCACTAATTGCTCCCCCCCCCCCCCCCTCTCTCTCTCTCTCTGAAATGTTATTATCTGTATTCATTACTTGTGTACGGATTTTATTGCTTGATTTAGATGAGAATAGGGAACCAAGATTTCTTGTTCATTGAAATCAATCAGAACAATGAGTACCTCTCATATTGTGAAGATGTTGTAGAGGTCCTGAAGGATCTCTGACATTTCTGAGATGGTTGGATAAGGAGGGTTATGTAAGCTTGAAGGTCATGACTTATTATTTGTATTCATGATCTGGATCTCTGTAGTGTCTGGCTGACGTTTGGTTCATCTCCATAGAATTTGGCTCATAGCCACTTTATTATCACGCAAATTCATTTACCTGGTCATTCCTTTTGCGCTAGGGATTGATTCTGCTAGATGCAGGATCTACATGCTTAGGTTACATGACGCTGGAAATAGAGGGCCCTGGATTTTTGAGCTTCGTACAAGTCAATACTCATACTCTTAGTATTTTTGTTGTATCGTGGAGCTATTTTCTGCAAATTATCATCAGTGGGTGGGTTCTTTAACCACTACCGATTTTCTACTTCTGTGGAGGGCTTTTCTTTGGCTAAACCAATGGTTTCCCTATCTTATCCCAATCCATCTATTTGTATAGCTCATGCGTTATTAATTATTAATCGAGTCCATTGAACTCCATATTTTATTCGATTGTGGGGGCAAAAAAATATAAATTGAGACAATTAGCTTGATTTTGAAGGTCGGGGCACTGATAAACTTGATCCTTGACTTAAGAAAAAAAAACTAAATTTATATATTATTTTGTTAATTGAAAATAAGTAACATCTATTTTGCCTAACTTCTTAATAATTAATTGCCCATGTAATTATAAAATGACATGATTGTATAAATATGTATATGTTTACATATTAATTTATATTTGAATAATTAAAAAATTATTACGGATCAATAGTTCTCATCTTTAGTTGCTTTTGAGTTAACATAATTAAAAGAATAATATCTAAACTAATTTGCGTTTAAATGCAATTTTTTTTTTTTTTTTTTTTTTGTGACAATATTTTAGCATGTATAGTTTGCAGAGCAAATTATAAATTACTCCCTCTAGTTTCAAGGAACAGATTAATTGGTCTTTTTTGTTTTAAAAATTATTATTTAGTCTTTTAATCGAGTGTTAACCGTATTTAATTTAATATTTCTTTTATTTCACAAAATTTCTCATTTTCTTATCAATCTTTTCATACTTTTTTTCCTTTTCTATTTCATAAAAAAAATCAAAATAAAATAAAAATGAGCAAAAAGGATCAAATTACAAGAAGATTTTAAAATATAAAAAGTAAATTAGTTTTTTAAACGAGGGAGAGTAATTGATTCATTTTTCAAAACGAGAGAGGGACTAATTTATAATTTACTCATAGTTTGTGAGGCAACATCACATCTTCAAAAAGGGTTTTCTATAAAATTTATATACACATGCACAAGAACTTAGTCAATATTATGTCACACATGAATAAATATATTTAATTGAAAAACAATAAGTAGATAGTTACCAACTTATATACTCATATATATATATATATATATATATAAACCTCAACATTTAAAATCTAGTTAAATAGCTAAATTGACCTTATCTTTCTGAAATCATCCTAGAATACAGGATTCAGTTGATTCAATAGCTATAGGACAACAAAGGGAGAAACAACAGGTTTAGCTAATTTTCTTAACTTTTGAAGTGTGGACCAAGGATGGACCATGATGCGGCTAATTAGGGAAGTTGGGTCAAGTACACTTCGAAAAGGTGTGAAGCTTGTAGCCATATTTGACCCCTTTGTTACATCACCGATCAATAGTACTCATCTTTACTTGCTTTTGAGTCGATTCTGTGGAGTAAAGTTTAGATTTTGTTTAGAGATCATCATCTTTCGGTTTATAGATGGAATGTTTTTGGAGTAAATGCAGCTGCCAGCATGACACGTTAGGAGACAAAGTTTGGAATTTGATAGACCTTTTAGGGCAATGAAATAATTATTATGGTGATAATCATTAAAAATAAAAGCAAGACAAGATGGTGGATTTGATGGGGGGTGATGGACGTCCTTCGGCGATGTTCAATTGGGCTAATGCCAATCATTTAAGTTCTGTGCCGGCTTATGCTTTGACAGCTTACCAGCCCTCCGTAAACCTGTCGTCATGCAATTTCTATCTTGGGTCTGCTTGGTTGGGAACTCGATTGAAGGATATATTTATTGACATAAAAAATTCAAGACCGATTTAAAGGCATTTTTTGCCAAAGAACTATTCAAGATCACAGCACATTAAGATTTTATTATCAATTTGATTAGTTACAAACTATCGTTTTTTTGGACATATGTTGCCTTTTCGCCGGTCTTTGTTCGATTACACTATTAGGTAATAGATCAAACTTTGATTATTGACCACAATTCCTCCTAAAAATTCATATATATATATATATATATATATATATATATATATATATAGAGAGAGAGAGAGAGAGAGCTAAATCTTTTTACAAATACTAATGAAAATTTCATCTATTTTTTAAAAAATAATTTAAATATTTTTCAGGATAGAAAGCTTTCTAAAAGTCTTTTGAAGTTGAATATTTACAAAATTGCAAATAATAATAATAAGTTGGCATGATCTCAAATTTTAATAAAAGTCCTAAAAGATCATGTAAATGTATTGATAGGTCCCAGATCAAAGCTAGATATTTGTAAAAAAAAGTATTCTCTTTAAGGTGAGAATAAACCGTGCAATTTTATTAAAATTCATGTACGCTCTTTACTCGCTAACTCAAGGTATTTAAATACATTAAGGACTCAACTACTTTGCTGAACAAAAGGAAATAAACGGCTAATAGCCAACAATCTTTCTAACTTATTGACCGAATCCTATGGAAATTTAAATAACAACTACCTTGACTCGGATAATATAAATAACAACTACTCGCTAGTTTTAAGCCATGATCCGCAAATCTATACTTCGGAATATCCACTTGGTCCACGTCTACAACTTACATGTCTCACGTAGTTCCATGCAAACCCATGCATTTAACTCGGGTACCTCGGGTTCTTGATGGGCACACGTGCGGACCTCCTCGGCTTATCATTGTCCCGCTCATCCAAAAGAACCTTGTCCTCGAGGTTCAAGTTAACAAACCCGTCCCGCAGCCTCCCGAGTGTTTTCCCACGTGGCATCTTCTTTAGGAAGCTTCTTCCACCGCACCAAGCTTTCCTCCACAAAATGTGACCCCTTTTTAATCCAGACGAGTATCCAAAATGGCCGCAGGTTCCACAATAATGTCTCCTCCATCATAAAGCGGCGGCAGTTCGGTCTGGTGGCCTTAGTCTCTCCCACCTGCTTCTTAAGCATGGAAATATGGAAAACAGGGTGAATTCTCGACCCCGCAGTAACCGAAGCATGTAAGCTACCTTTCCAACCTTGGCTTCAATTTGCTACGGCCGTAAAAGCGCTAGCTAGCTTTTGGTATGCTCTCCTATAAACAAGTAGTGCCGACGATAAGGATGTAGTTTAAGGAAGACTAAATCTCCTACTTTGAACTCCACGTCTCTTCTTTTGGAATCGACCACTTGTTTCATTCTATTCACAACTGCATGTAAATTGATTTTGAGTTGTTAAAGAATGGCATTGCGTGAATTCATGGTATGGTCCATTTCCCTAATAGGAGATGATCCCGGTTGATAATATGGAATAGTTGGTGGAGGCCTTCCATAAAGAGCTCGAAATGGTGTCATACCAATGGAGCTGTGGTATGTTGTGTTATACCAAAATTCAGCCCATGAAAGAAAACAATTCCATTTGCGAGGCCGCCGAGAAACAAAACACCGTAGTTACCGTTCAACACATCGATTAACCACCTCGGATTGACCGTCTGGATCGTGGATGATAGGCCGAGCTCATGTGCAATTTCGTTCCCGACATTTTGAAGAATTCTCGCCAAAAGTGACTTATAAATATGGGATCTCGATCACTAATAATTGACTTGGGCATGCCATGAAGCTTGACAATCCCATTAACAAATTGTTCTGCTACCATTTTTGTCGTATAAGGATGCGACAAGGCCAAGAAATGAGCAGATTTGCCGAGGCGATCAACTACCACGAGAATAGTGCTCTTGCCATTGGAAAGTGGTAACCCTTCAATAAAATCTATGGTGATGTCATCCCAAACTTGGCAAGGAATGGGCAATGGTTGAAGAAGTCCTGCTAGAGCTAAAGTGTCGACTTTATTCTTTTGACAAACAGGTCAAGAGGCTACATATTGTTGAATTGCCTTGGGCATCGATGGCCAATAAAATTGTTGTGCTAGCCTTTTATACGTTCTTAAAACTCCGCAGTGCCCTCCATATGGTGAGTCATGGAACTCCTGCAATAGTTGAGTGACAAGATGGGATTTAGGAGGAATAACTACACGATCTTTATAACATACCAAACCATTGTGCCATTTATAAGGCGCTCCAGGATTTGTAGTAGCTAGCTTACCGATGTGGATCATGTAAGGATGCTTGGTTGGCTTCTTCTTTTATGGCATCCCATAAGGACGTTTGAGGTACAAAAAGAGTGTGAAGACCGAGGCCGCCTATTACTCCGGACAAGGCATCGACGTACCGAATTCTCCCTCCCCGGCTTGTACGTGATTTCATAATCGTACCCCAATAATTTGGACACCCACT